AGGCGTGTTTTCACACAGTCTCTCTGGCTGTCTATGGGGACCAGAGATGCCACTACGGCACTGGTCCCAGCAGCAGGTGGGAGGCTGCGGTGGTGAAGGTGTTGACAAGGGGCCAGAGTCCAGGTGCGCTCGGCAGATGAAGCCGATAGGATCTGCTGCCGGACCACACACAGGGGTGTCAGAGAAAGTGTTCTGTCGGAATGGCCCGCGGCTTTTGCGTCCACACCTGGGGGTGCGTCTACGATGGGGGTGCCACTCGCTGAGAAGGGGAACGCAGGTGGGGGGAGCCTCTACAGCTGGAAAAATTAGTGGACAAAGCACCCAAGGCCAAGTCTGACCAGAAAACCAATTTAAAGACAGGAGAAGAGATCAGGACATGAGAGAAGGCCACAAGGCCAGCCACAGCGACTTGGCAGACCAGCCCTTCCCTGCGGCCCCGCTGCAGTGAGGGGCCCCTCCCACCGTCCACCAGCTGGGCCTTGCCGGGCGGACCAGAGACACACAGGAACCCAGAAACATAGCCCCAGGCACCTGAACCGCGCCCTCACTATCCATTCAACACAGAGGGCCACGCGTGGCGGGCTCGGTTCCAGGCCCTCCCTGGGTTTGCCTCTCCCTCTCTCTCCCACTCTTCGTCTCTCTACCTTTCTCCCCTCCACACGCACACGCACACACGCACGCACACACACACACACACACACACACACACGCACGCACACGCCCGCCACCCCGGCAAGGTCGCCTGGGGCACATGACTCTCTTAAGCTTCTGTTTCCCACGGATGGTGATGCCGAGATGAGTTTCATAGAAGTCTGCCTTCACCGAACGAGATGACATCACAGACAGGCTCTGACGGCTGCCCGGCACACAGCCACTCAGGACTCTGTTCCTTGGCCCCACGAGGTCTGAGCACCCTCCTTACCCACTGGGGGAAGGAGAAGAAATGAGTCTCACTTCTTCTATAGGGCCTCTCCCAGCAACCTCAGGACGCGGGGCCCGCTGCGTGTTTCCTGGGTGGGTGTCTAATTCGTCTGGCCATCCTCTGGGGAAAGCTGTGGATTCACTACTGGTTTTCAATTAAGCGCATAACAGGAAAACATTCTCTCCATTTTAAAAAGCAGAGGAGCATTACAGGCGAAGCGTGTCTACGTGGGCCACGCCCGCCCCCTTGAGAGCGGCCACTTTGGTCAGTCCAGTGTGTGCCCTTCCACACCTTCTTCTGAGACTTTACACGCACTGATATCAAGCCACTGAAATTACAGAATATTGCTTTGCAGAATTAAAGAAAAAAAATACATAAATTAAGCTCCGGAGCTTTTCTCAATGAGCAATGTTTCTGCCACCTATCCGTGCTGAAAGGCACATAGCTAAGTCCCCTCCCTCTAACTTTTGCCTAGAAACCCACGGGGCGCAGAGTTCCCACTGTGGTCCCTGTAACCCAGATTTGGCCATCGAGGTTCCTGACACAAGCTACTGACCTTCGCTCAGCCTCAGTTTCCCCTAAAGCAGGAAGGGAAAATACTGCCCGCTCTGCCTCTCTCACAAAGCTGTGGCTGGATTCCCATGAGAGACTAGGTGCATCCAAGGCATTGCCACATGCACATAATCACCTTTCTACGTAATAACTTCGCGGGGAGGCAAACCAGTTCTGACCGCTGTCTCAGAGGTGAAGTAACCTGCCTGAGGTCCCCGCCTGGCACACAGCACAGCTGGGCTCCGGAAACCGACGGGGGTTGCAAACCTCGTCGCATCCCTGCCCAAGCCCATCAGCAACTCGAGACATGGCAATCGAACCCACCAGAGCCACCAAAAAATACATGATGGTGACTAATGGGTAAGCTCCAACGATGACAGAGATGAGCAGGTAGTGGCTACGTTCATACTCTGTGGGTGGAAGTTTAAACGCGTGCGCTTTTTGGAGGGCAGTTTGGCTCTGTGAAAATTCAAACCCTATGGCTGTCGGTGACAGAGAAAATTATCAGTGAGTAGAGAAGCAGGTAAATAAGTAAGTGTACGGCCATTCCAAGGAATTCCATGAAGCTGTGAATAGATTTACATGTTAGGAAGTGGAAAACTCTTCAAGCGCTAGTGAGTTATACAGCAAGCTGCAGAATATTTGTAGGTAGCATAGTTCAATTTGTGTAAAAAACATGTATATTAATGTACATAAGTATATGCCCGTGATGTGTATATTAGTAAAGGTCTGGGGGAAACGTCTTTTTTTCTCTGAATGTTTTTACATGCAACTATTCATGTCTTTTATATATAGACGTAAGTATCCAAAAAAAAACCCCAAACAAACAAACATAAAAACAGAGAAATCAAAGCACAAGCCTCTCATTCAGGTCGCACAAGGACACGTGTAGCCAAAGAAAACACCAGCGGGCAGACATTCCCTCTCCTAGTGTCCCACCAGCTCAGTCCCCTGAACACAAGCACCCTTCTTCCAAGGGAAGGCACTTGGCCGGGGCTCGGCGGGGCTGTCCAGGAGGTGAGCAGGCCGGGCCCGCTTACCTTCCTGCCTTCACACCACTCGGCCCCAAACCAATTGCCTGGGGGACAGTCACATAGAATGCTGGATGGCTCTCCCTCAACCTGAAGCTCGGAAATCCTAACTCCAGAACAGCTGAGGACGATGGCGCTGTCCTCTCTGGGAGCCCGGAGCAGGGTGGTGCACGTGCACACACACGTGGGACTGACATCCTGAACCGGATCCACAGCCATAGAAAGAAACCCTGAAATAAGCCCAAGACGGACCGGGCTGACAAACCTCTTCGTCAGCGGTAAATCTCAACCCCTCACACACCCCCCAAGCAAGAGGCTCGCCATGCTTACGCTTATGCCACGTGAGTGACAGTCTCACCAGGGCACACACGGAACAGAAACCACAAATCAGCATGCTTTTATGGGAGACCTTCACTGAGCTAAAGCTCTCCCAGCTACCCTGAAAAGGATTACAGACACACTCTGCGGCCACCGTGAGAAAGAGGCAGTCTGGCGTTCTAAGGTTTCCCCACGCAAGGTTTCTCGCCAGCCCCAGAGGACTCCCAAAAAAATACGACAAGAAACTCAGTGCTCAGTGTCACGATCAGATGGGATCTTTCTTACAATCAGGTTACAGGACTTAACAGGACAAGATTTGAAACCCCTTCTAAAAAAAAAAAAAAAGACAGCATGGCCAAAATGACTCAGACAACTGCTCCCCCAGAGACCTCGGGAAAAGCCTAACATTGCCCCATCTTTAAAGCTGGCTGGGTCCCAAGAAGTGTCAGCCAGGTCTAAGTGGAAGGAGCCTTCATTCATCCACCTGTCCATTTATTTTCCAAGTATCCTCTGCTGGGCATGGGGCACAGACAGAAAATGTGGACAAGTCCTCATTCTCAAGAAACTGGCCGAAAGAAGTAAGAAACTGGAAAAAGAGAAGCTAACTGGGAAGTGACAAAATCCTCTGTCCCAGCTCTGTGTCTGGCTGGATCTTGGGCAGGGGTGAGCCTCTGTTTCCCTCCCAGCTCTGCAGGTGCTGGTTCTGGCTTCAAAGCTCCCAACTGCTTCTCGCTCAAGCGTGAGGCTCTGTCTGCAATCTCCCGCCCTTCAGTGACTCCAGGCTCATTCAAACCTGCCGCCCGGTCGCGCAAGGCACGATATGATGATGGTCTGAAGACGAGCTGGCAGCCTCAGTTTGTCTCTCTAGTTAAAAGGGCAGTGGTGTGTAAGGTGAGGATCAGAGGGAAGCCCTGTGGGCTCTCCCAGGTCCCTGCTCATGCGTGAATCCGCGGACGAAGGCGGCTTATCCCTTCCAATCTGCGCCAGAAGGCAGCGCGGGAGGACAGGGCAGCGCTCCGCCTCTGAGATGGGGGTTTCTAGGGAGCCTGGACAGCAGAGAGGGCTCCACCGAGAGCTCCCGGGCCTGGACGCCCGCGCGTCTCCCAGAAGCACATGAAAGCTGGGTTCCTGTCCTCGCGGCTCGCTGGAAACAGGCAAACCGCAGCCCTCGTTTTAGCGGGCTGCCGCCGGCGTGCGGACGCGCTCCAGGCGCCCGGGCCAGCACCGCCACGCGCTCCCGAGTCCGGGCCGGGCCGACCCCTCAGGGTGAGGTCAGGCTCCGGGGTGGTCCCTCATTCAAGGCTCCCCAACCCTGGCCTCCAGAAAACTCCCCAGGTGGCCCCTTGGCCCCCAACCTCTGCCCGGTCAGGGAGGGTACTGGGGAGATGGACCGCTGACCCGCCCCCCGCCGCCCGGTGCGCTGGGGTCTCCCCGGTGCTCAGGAGCTGCGGACGTCCTCGGCGCCCTGCGCCCTCCAGCCCCGCGGCCGGCGCCCCTCACCCACCTTGAGGACCTGCTGCTT